TTGGAAATTATTTTCCAGCTGCGTTGGACTTATAGAGGACCGACTGCGCCATCGTATCGATAAGTTTCTGATGGCTTTGTTGTGTTCCACTGCAGGCACGTTTCGTTGGACTGGGCCGGCAATTAGCCACGAATAAAATAAAATGAGTGCTTACTGCACTGACAACATTTACCCAAATTAGCCGCTAAACACAGAAATAAAAAGCCAACATCAAGTCGTTTAATTGGGCAGCATCCATGTGGCCATGGTGGAATAAAAGGAGCAGCCAGTCGGCCAGTAGAGCCAAGCCATATTAGTGCCCGCGATGATGATGGTGGCAATTATGCATGGGAGGGGGTGGAGGTTTTCCAGTGGGCGGGGGCTTTTCCTTTGGGTGGCGGCGGTGCTGAAAGTGCTTTTGTGGGTGTTGCTGTGTATGTGTGTGTGGTGTGTGTGCGGCACCACTTGGTCAACTGCACGTGCGGCTATCGCGAAAGCCGTACAACGTTGGGCAGCTGCAAAATTCAATTTGGCTATGCGCAAAAAATTAGCAACAATTTCCTAAAAATACAATGAGAGAGGCCTGTTCCCCCTTCCAACCCACCAAAAAAACCCCACTTTTCAATGGCTGCAACAACAAACAAAAGCGTCAACAGGCACGCAATATAATTGAGTGGATGCCAAAGTGTGGGTGTTGGGGGTTTGACAGAGAAGGGGATATGCAGAAAAGAAAGAGATAGCAAAGAGTGTGCGACGGCACGCGCTGTGAAAATGCGAAAATGGGCTTAGTTCAGCCGACTGTATTTTCCTATGCTGTCGATGACTAAGAAAATGCAAACATCGAGCTGGCATCGAAGGCCTAAAGTTTTTTCTAGTATCACTTTGGGAATGTTTTCCTTTTATAAATAGTTGAAAAGTCTGTTAAATTTTAAGCTGACAACCTTGGCTATAAATAAGATGATATTTATTGGTTAAAATATTGAAAGTTTAGATATTAGGTGAACATGTGAAATAAAGTTGGATTATGCAAAACTCTTTATTACCAAATCCAAAAGAAGAATTGGATTGATTTAACAATAAAGGTAAATAATTAAAAATACAATTAGTGATAACGTTATAATTTGTCATAATAAATATGAAAAGTTAATCCATTTAATATTAAAACAAGAAAGGAAAGCTAACTTCGTGCGGAGCCGAAGTTGAAATACCCTTGCACAATATTCTGTAAATTATATTCTCCAAACTTATTCATATGATACATTCTTAACACTCATAAAAATCCCAACTTCCTAACTTTAAAAACACCAAAGTTATGGCATTTCCACTCGTTCAGTTATATGGCAGCTATAGAATATATTCGGCCGATCCTTATGAAATTTGGTATGTCGGATTGATTGGTCAAAAATTAAATCCATAGAAAATCCAAACTTCCTAACCTTACAACCACCAAAGTTATGGTATTTCCGATCGTTCAGTTATATGGCAGCTATAGGATATAGTCGGCCGATCCTTATGAAATTTGGTAAGTCGGATTGATTGGCCAAATATAAAACCCATAGAAAATCTCAACTTCCTAACTTTACAAACACCAAACTTATGGCATTTCCGATCGTTCAGTTATATGGCAGCTATAGGATATAGTCGGCCGATCCCGGCCGTTCCGACTTATATACTGCGTGCAATGGAAAGAAGGATGTGTGCAAAGTTTCAATTCGATATCTTTAAAACTGAGAGACTAGTTCGCGTAGAAACAGACAGACGGACAGACAGACGGACAGACAGACGGACAGACGGACAGACGGACATGCTTATATCAACTCAGGAGGTGATCCTGATCAAGAATATATATACTTTATAGTGTCGGAGATGTCTCCTTCAATGCGTTGCACACTTTTGACCAAAATTATAATACCCTCTGCAAGGGTATAAAAACACAATTCTTTAAATGAAACATATATTTGAGTTCTAATATGATGTGTGCCAACCAAATTTCAACCGAATTTGTAACCATTATCCCGATACCCTCAACAAAAAGTATTGCATGCAAATATTTAAACTTCACATAACAAATACCACAAATAAATGTAATGCTTAGAAAATTGATTTTTTTTTTGGCATATGCATGGTATATATAAACAGATTACAGTGGTTATTAAATTCTTTAAAATATATATTTGCTGAACGAAAATTTTGTCACTGGTTTCATCAAGAATGCTTGCTAGTTTTGTTTCGTCTCTATGAATTTCCAATCGGGCTTGGTAAAATTCTCAATCGGTTGACATGATTTGGGGAATGGTTTATTTGGTTCGGCATTTCTCGGATTGTATACGCAATATATCGAAGCTGCACATATACATCGGGTTTCAAAAATACATGTTCCGTTGCAGCTTAGGCAATGACCGGGACACCTTTTTAAGCATTCGGAATGAGATTGATAGTTAAAAGGCGATGGATGATTTTTAGGATCACATGGAGTTAAGGCCACAGCTATATCATGTCCCAAGAATGTAGGCTTCCATCCAAATGGAATTATGTTTGGAAATAAAATCGTCAGAATCGGAGGTAATGCGTATACTGATGTAAAAATCACCAAAAAGCTCACACAAGCAAGAACTACTAAGTAAATATAGAAAACATAAGTATAAAAATAATGTTTTATTTTAAAAATCTTACGCTTCATTTCTCTGTCAGATTTAACAATAATGCAGTTTGAGGGTCAAAGACACAGCAATGCTCTCTCGTTCAACGTAGAGTAATTGAATACACAATAGTTGCTTGAGTACTGGCATTTATTGAAGCACAAGCTGGGCTTATATACACGGATTCAGAGTCAAGGTTGGCTCCAGACAAAGAAGACGCCTGCACTTAGAAAAAAAACTTTTATTTGTGTTTTGATTTTTTTTTAAAACATACAATTTTTGACCTAGATAGATAGATAAATAGAGATATATGAATTTCGTTCGATTCTTTCCGTTTTGTTATCGGTAGAGTGTTATTGGTTGAGCTATTTTTTATGATTCTTTAATAAATACATTAGGGTTGTTGATAATATATCAAAATATCAATATATCGATATTTTTTCCTAAAAATTATATATTTATATCGTGATTTTTTATTTGCCCAAATATCGGAATTACGATATTTTTTGATATCATCGACTGAAAGAATTCAGGGTCGAAATAAAAAATTGAGTGTAAAATCAAACTATACGGATGACTGACGCACACATAACGCAAAGGGTGTTATTAAAATCCCTAAACCCTGCATACTGGTCATAAAATATGTATAATAAAATACTATTGTTTTTAAAAAGAAACTTATTGTCTTTTTATTGTGGGCGGTCAATTTTTTCATTTAACACAAAAAATATCAAATATATCAAATATATCGACATTTTTATGCGATATTTTAAATATTATCATTTTTTTTTTTGATAAAAAAAATATCATCGATACGATATTTTTAAAATTTTCGACAACCCTAAAATATATGTCTTAGTGATTTTTTTCAAACCAAAATCCAACCGAATTTGAATGGCTTTTCAGTTGAAAGAGTTTTCTGTAGCACTCCAGATACAGAGCGATTGGATTAACTGTTGGAAGATGAGAAAGTTGATAAGAAAGAACCGAAAATCATTAAGCTTAAGACTTATAGGTATCTTATAGTCAGGAAACTCGACCATATTAGGCCAGAAACAAAAAAAACGAGAAAGTATACCCTTGCAGTTATTACAAAACGACTAAATTTCGATTTCTATGCCTATATTACTAAAAACAATGAAGCTATGTCGATTATGCGCTGCATTTGCCATCGTTTTTATTGCAGCTATATAAAATTGTTATCCGATCTTGACAAACTAAAAGAGTAATTCTGATATAGTAAATAATTACTATATCTTAAAAAAATATTTTAATAACAGAAAAAAAGCAAATTAAATTTTTTTTTTTTTCTTGATCAGGGTCACTAGCCGAGTCGATATAGCCATGTCCGTCTGTCCGTCTGTCCGTCCGTATGAACGCTGAGATCTCGGAAACTATAAAAGCTAGAAGATTGGCATTTTGCATGCAGATTCTAGGAGTTCCTACGCAGCGCAAGTTTGTTTCAAAAAGGTGCCACGCCCTCTTTAACGCCCACAATAGCTTATATACGATTTTAAAAATTTAAATATTTCGGAAAATGCAGTTTTATTGTGTTTATCAATACCTATCGAAATGTAGAAGAAATTTTTTAAATCGGACCATTCGTTAAAAAGTTATGCGTGATCAAAGTTTCTATCTCCATCTCCCTCGCACTCCCTTTACCTGAGTAACGGGTATCTGATAGTCGGGGCACAAGACTATAGCGTTCTCTCTTGTTATTTTTAATTTTTTTGATTTTCCTATGGGAGCTATGGATGTCCGATTTTAATTTAATTAAAACTGTAATTCCATAATATTTAAATATTATCAAATCCCAAAAATTAAAATAAAAACAACAAAGTATATTTTTTAAATTTTTTCCGATTGTTCCTTTGGGAGCTAAATGATATAGTCGCCCGACTTATATACTACCTGTAATAGAAATACATCTTTTGGGAAAGTTTCAAGCAGATCGCTTTAAAACTGAGGGCAGACGGACATACATACATATATGTATGTACTTTATAGGGTCGGAAATGTCTCCTTCATTACGTTGCAAACTTTTGACGGAAATTATAATACCCTCTGCAAGGGTATAAAAATCTTCAAAATACAAACTATGCGATTATCACCCTTTTTTTTGGCTTCCAAATAATTTGAAAAAACAACTAAAGCGCAAATAAGCGATAACATTACCTCATTTCTATTTATATTCTAGTCCATACATATACATATTTGGTGATTTGGGTTTTTTCAATTGTTGGTCGACGGATGAGAGACTTGGACAGCCACTTACTATAGATAAGAATATGTTATATTTTCTAATATTTTAGGCTCGTTGTTTCTTCAACTTATAGCTACGTTTCAGTAAACTTTTTAAATTCGATTTGAGTAGATGGAACATCTCAAAATGCTGAGGCTATTATCCTATTTGCTTGGCTTATTAAGTGTACGAGGAGTAATTGGGTTCAATTCAAAGGATCAGTCGTCGTGTGTTCTCCAAGATGAACCGAAACAGTGTGGTTCCTTTTGCCTGACCACACTCAGCCCGCTTTTCGACCATTCTAGCAATATCCGAAAAAGGTTGGATGCAATCGAGGCAGGGCTGAAGGCCGGATTCGATTCGAGACTCAAGCAGGAACTCATCACAAAAGAAGACTTCGCGAATTCAATTCATGCTCTGCAGGCCAAACTGGATGCGAGATTTGACAGAATGGAGGAAGCTAGGACGGTGAGTTACTGATAGCAGACTTACAGACAGACATTCAGACTGACAGACATATAGAAATCCTAGAAATTGATTATCTCAGTTTATAGATAAATTTAATGTACACAATTATAACAGTTTTTTTTTTTTAGTAAATTAGTATAATACTGCAACGAAAGTTCATTGCAATTTTTTTTAGTTTGTTTTAAATCGACGCTGACAATGTTATCAATACTTTCTTTTGTAAGCTCAATTAAGATTTATTGCAACTAATTGAAATATTGAAAACGAAAACAATGATTATTATATTATCGCCTGTTCTAATTCATTTTTTACAGATACAAATAACAGCCGATGCCAACGATGATCTCAAAAGCCAAGTTAATACTTTGAATGACACCATACAAAAATTGGAGAGTCAGTTAGAAATATCCAAAGGTCAAATCAAAAGCAAAGAAGATATTTTAAATGTGAAAGAGGAGCAAATCCAAAGCCAGCATGAACACCTTAAAAATAGAGATGAACTAATCTCGACCCTTACGACTCAAATTAATGCGATTAATGAAACAAAATCAGAAATAAATGACATGTTAAAAATGTCCGAGGGTCAAATCAAAATAAAAGAAGATATTTTAAAAGTGAAAGAGGAGCAAATCGAAAGCCAGCATGAACACCTTAAAAATAGAGATGAACAAATCTCTGACCTTAGGAATCAAATTAAATTGATTGAGAAAACAAAATCAGAACTATATAGTCAGCTTTCCGACTTGCATAAATATTATGACATTTTACCTGACTCTTGTCCCAGTGGCAGTCCCAATGGGATTTACCAAATAAAGCTTCGGGGTCTTGAAGCATTTAAAGTGCCATGTGCGACGTCTCCACCTGGTTATACTGTGATTCAGAGGCGCATTGACGGATCCGAGAACTTCAATCGAACCTGGGAGGAATACAAAAATGGATTTGGGAATGTCAGTGCAGAATTCTTCATTGGGCTGGAAAAATTGCATCGGATGACTGAGGCACGACCCCACGAACTCTACATTAAACTTGGGAATGTTAATGGATCCACCGGCTACGCTCATTATGATGACTTTAAGATTGGGAGTGAGGAGGAATTGTACGAGTTGAAGAATCTAGGGAATTATTCTGGTGAAGCCGGAGACTCCCTTAAATACAGTATGAACCAAAAGTTCTCCACATTTGATCGGGATAATGACAATATCGTTGGTTTCAATAGTGCCTCTTTCTTTGGTGCATGGTGGCAGAATATCTATTCGAAAAGGTATACCTGTTTATTTATGCTCTTATTAAATCTTCTTACTATAATCACTTAAAATTACAGTTCGCTCAATGGAAAGTACTTCAAAGATGGCAGAGGTTGGGGTGGAATTTATTGGCAGTCATGGCATGAAAATAGGTATGAATCATTTACCTTTGTCGAAATGATGATAAGGCCCAAGACCTTATGAGTCGCACTGTTTAAGTATGAAATATTTTAAAATTAATAAAAGATAATAGATCTACATATACTGTACTCCTAATGCTGTCTGTTATTAATTTTTCTTGATGAAATGGGAGATTTGATAAAGTGTTTGAGATTATTTTACAACTGATGTGCGTATTTTAGGAATATAAACTACTATGCAAGTTTCCGCTTTACTTTTCATTCGGATGCCGTTTGCCATTGTTATTAATTTACATATTTATAAGTTTTTGTTAAGTCATTATGATGGGTACGTAATAAAAGGCTGCACGGCCGCATTCAAAACGGCTTTTGAGACATTCATCTGCCAATGAGTTGAATGAATTCTGCTGCGAATTGCACAAATTGTATTCTGAGTATTCAGTCAATTCTATGCTTCATTCATTCATTCATTCCGTTTTGCACACACATTCATTCAATCCCATTTCATATGAATATTCACAATTGCGCTCAAATGAGAATACAGTGCGATGCGAACTCGATTAGTTGAATTGTGCTCAAATTAGAGTACACAACTGAAGAGTACTGAGAGTACTAAAATTTGAGTGCAGCCGTGCAGCTCTCTAGTACGTAAGGGAGTTTGGGGAAATGATCTGGATAAGGTTACCACACTGATACTATTATTCTTGGGTCCGCACATTGGAGGTGGTTGCTCCCAAGGGGCAAAGTCAAGGCAACGATAGCACTTCTGCTCTGGTGTTGAATGTGATTCCCGAAATCAATGAAAATACCGGAAGACGGTGGCTACAAACATACTTGCGCACAGATAAGCACTTTCAGTAGCATCTGAAGATCATTCTGCGGTTCTAGATTATCAGCTAGCTAGACACATAAATATACACTCATACCAAAATTAACCCTAACAAGAAAGAAAAGCTAGCTTCGGGCGGAGCCGAAGTAAAAATACCCTTGCAGAATATTCTGTAAATTATATTCTTCAAAATGATTCATATGATGCATTCTTAACACTCATAAAAATCCCAACTTCCTAACTTTACTAAAGTTATGGCATTTCCAATCGTTCAGTTATATGGCAGCTATAGAACATAGTCGGCCGATCCTTATGAAATTTGATATGTCGGATTAATTGGCCAAATATAAAACCCATAGAAAATCCCAACTTCCTAACTTTACAAACACCAAAGTTATGGCATTCCCGATCAATCAGTTATATGACAGCTATAGGATATAGTTCCTATAGAGCACCTTTGGGGGAAAATGAAGAAGAGGATTGGTGGGTTTAAGTCCAAAACTAGGGAAGACTTGTGGAAGAAAGTGAATTCCAAATGGTACTCCATTGAACAATCAATTTGTGCAAATTTGGTGGATTCAATGGGACACCGGTGAACTATATATTAAAGTTACCATCTAAACTAATAGGCTTTGAAGCTACAAAACAGTTTTTCATAGAATTAACTCAGTCGTTTCTATTATTTTTTCCAGGCCTAAAAATTTAAAAAATTATTTTTTAGTTCATACCGTTTTTTGAAAATTATTGTTTTGGTATATTTTGACACATAATTGTATCGACTATCAATCAAAATTATTAAAATTAAAAAATAAAAAAATTGACTTAAGAAAAGTTTGAAATATACGAAAAAAATTGTCGTTTCTATTATTTTTTCCATGACTGTATGACAAAATAAACAAACTTTTGTTATCTCCCATATCTTATGCACTTCTTAAAATATTCAAATATACATTTAAGGTTGGTCAAAATCTTAAGCCTGCCCGTGCCACTCTTGCAATTAAATTTAAGCGTGTTTTTTTTTTTTGTAAAAAACTATTTTTCCATGAAAAAATTGTAAATATTGTTCACATTTATTATAAACATCCGTAAAATTGGTTGAGTATTTGATAAGGGTAAGCGAGATCCACGAAGTGTACACAATATTATCAATCGGAAAAAATTAAGAAGTCTCGAAGTGTTCTATTAATTTTTCGATCATTTCTAGGATAGCTATATGATGTCCAATTTGGCCCACTCCGACGTGTGTATATACTTACGACTCATTGCCAAAACTATGATAACGTACCATATGGCTAGCCCCATATCATTCAGCAGATATTAAATACTTAAAATTGGGTTTTTTGTATTCTATTTTTTAAACAATTTAAAAGGTGAATTTCGATATTATATATTTGATCATCGACACAGTAGAGCATTCCGATAGTCGCTTTTGTTCATTTGCTGTAAATACATTTGGTCCGATCAATGGTCTTTCCATAGCTGGCCAATTTCAATTTTGTTTTTCTTTTGTTTTCAACAATGCTGCCGTTTTTGTTGCGGCCGTTGCAATTTCGAGCATTTGTTAACGAATTTGTTTGCTTGTTGAACATTCTGAGCGTTCCGCTCTTTTCGCATAGCCCATTGTTTGTTTTCCCGGCATTGTGGCAAATGACGTGACAGCTGTAGACCTCTCTGTTTCGCTCTGACACGCACTGAAACCGCCCCCCCACCGACCTCCGCCCCATTGGGATTGCCTACGTGCCGCGTTTAAAAAACAATCAATTTTAATTTCAATTTAAATTAGTTGCCGCTGCGTTGTTGCTGGTCACTCTTTTCGGCTTAATGCCGCTGCACTTGGCCATTAAATTATTTTTCCTCATTTATGCCACTGCCCTTTTGTCGGCGACTGTAATGCAATTTAGCGTTTGTTTCCAGCACTCTATTGTTTAATTTCATTTATTACTAAATTCCAACAAAACGGTTGGAAAAAAGCAATAAATTTCACTTTAAAATGTTGCTAGGCACAGTGAGTGACGAAATTGTAAATTTGAGTTGTCAGAATGATGAAATGAGATTTTTAATATGTTCTCTTCTTAAAATACGTTTTCAATTTCTTTCTGATGAAATAGGATAAGCCAGAAAATTATGTGGCTTTGGTTTCTTTAAAAACCTTACAGACTCGAAACGCACTGCTTGTTTAAGCCTAAAAACAAAAGCTAATTTTGTCTGCGCTTAAAATTGGATTTAATTTCAATTCTAAATATTGCTCACCTCTGAACTTTGTTGCTCATCTCATTTGCAAATTACTAAACATAAGCATATTAAAATTTCAAAGAGCAAAAGTTTTTATGTTTGCCCACATTTGTGTATTAACAATTAGAATGTGGGAAATGTATGTGCCTCGCTTTTTGTATTGTTCCAATTTATTTTCGGATTAAAAAGTTAAAAACACGACATCAAGAAGAACATCTCTCGGATTTGCGGCACTAACCAACCTCCAACTTTTTTGCGGTGTCCAACTTTTTGTTAAGACCCGCCAGAACACAAACAGGTTTTGCCCCAAATATATAATTTAGTTCTGATTCGATTCGGGATCAAGTGTTGAGCTTAACCCGCAACCTAAATCAATCCGGCGGACACGCACTCGCACTGAGGGATTGGGGGATACAAATGTATCTGCCGCTGGCGCTAAACTACTTAACAGCAAATTTTGCGTAATTTACGTCCTGACCAAGGAACAGATGGCATTCCAGGCGAAGTTCGTGTATCCGTATCCGAGGGATACATTCGACAGGCAGCTGTGGCTGCAGCCGCAAACATGTGTTCCTTTAAGCAAGAAACAGAGACGACTTCAGGGGGCGGGATCGGGATCGGGGATAAATTATTGGGTGCGCCTTTTGGACTCCACCTCCTGGCCAACGAATCTCTGTATCTGCACATCCGCACACACACATCCTCTATCCTCGTCCACATTTGCGTATCTGCGGTTGCGTGGTCTTAGCCTGTACCGAATCAAAGCATTTAATGGCGCTTTTAATCTTGTTAATCGCCCCTTTCTGGCCCGACTGAGATTTTCAGATAGTTTCGACCGCCGGATGCCGCTCCTTCTTGTTTATGTGGCGGTGGGCGTGGCACACGAAAATTGCCATGGAGCGGATACATAGTTAAGTTGTGATAAACCCCAAAGGCTTTGCCAAGCTGACCGTCCAAGCAAAGAAACCCACCGAAATTGTTGCATACTTGCGGGGGTCTTTAAACAAAGTAATGGATCTGGACGAAAGTAGGGAACTTTAACTTGCGCAATTCTTGGGCGAACGCTCTGGGAATTAAACGAAATCATCTTATCCACTTTAGCGTCCGTCAAGGACAATTTTGACATGTTCAAATCCTTTTTGCACAGTCCCTTTTCGAGCTCCTCCACTCTCGCACAATGAATATTATTTCTTTATGCAAATTTCCTTGGGAGCTGCCACTTGTTGGGTGCCATGGAAGACCCCACATATTTCTGCGATTCGACCGTTCTCCTCTTTCGCCCATTTGCGTGATATTTTGTTGAGCAAGACAAATGATTTCCATTTAATTTATTTTCACTGCTCCGCTCGTTTTGCTTGGCTCGTGGCGGCAAAAGGATTTAGCTGAATAAATTATAGGTTGAAATTGTTACATCTTGGGATAGGCAACGGGGAGGGATAGCCGAAGACAAGTGCAAATAAAATAAGGGCATCGGGCGCTGACAAATGCTGGCTAAAATAGGAAGCCCTCTGTGCAGCCAGCGATACGCTAAAAATGAATTTATCGCTGCTCTATGGCTGCTCTTGAAATGCCCCAAAGATCTAGTTACATTGTTACCACTCGGAGGAAAATGATTTATTTTCTTATAAATTCAAAATATTGCGATAATAAAAATGATTGAAATTTAGTTGATACTCAGCAAAAACTGAGCCATTGAATTCCACGTTTAAGGCTTAAAAACATGGTCAAAACATTTTAATAAGAAAAAAACATTTTGATCAGAGAAATTAATAATAAATAACTATAAAGCGTTTAATTTTTTTCTTGTTTTTGGACGTACAACTATTGCATTATTTATATATTTTTTAACAAAACCCATTTTGGTGCCGCACCAATTTATGTAATACCTTCTTTTTCCATCGGAACCTTTAAGCTGCAAAATCCCCAGTACTGCATTAATTAGCCAGAGAAGTGAACTTGGTCCGAATCAGGTATTTGGGGGCTTATGCAAACATGGCCAGCTGGCCAACTGAATCTTCCCCCCAGACACACGTGTGATTCCATCTGCTCCTCCGATTTGTGTGTGGGGGCAACGC